TTAATAAATAAATAAATAAATAAATAAATAAATAAATTTATACAATCTAAGGTGGCAAAATCTAGTCTGTCTTCTTACATATTTTTGATTCAAAGGGGAGGAGGGTTGTCTCTTCTGTTGAAAGGGTCAGGGTACCTCTATTGTTTACCATTATCAGTGTGAGAATAACTTCTCACAAATGAGACGTGTGATCTATAGCCAATGTCACACGTGTTGTGTAAAAAATCAGGAGTCCGGTAGCGCCTTTTATGATGTAGTATAGTGGTTAAGATGTTGGAGACCCAAGTACATTAGCCTGAAGTCTATTGGGTGGCTTTAGGTAAGTCACTGTCTTTCATCCCAACTCTCACAGAAAAGCTATGGGGAAAAAATCAAATGAGGGGGTCCTAGATATTCCACCTTGAACTTTTGAGGAAAAGACAGGATAAAATTTAAACAAATAACAGCCTACAAATAGTCCTTCTTGTATGCCAGCATGGTTTCTTGTACATGTTGCAACATGAAGCAATTGCCAGTGTTTTTTGTAAGGTCCAAGAATTATTGATGCTCCTAAACTGCTGGTGAAGCACCCTCATATTAAATGTTGAAATTAAAATATGTCATTTCCATCCCTAAATACATTTATTATATATTTATGCAGGTGTTCTTTTTCATTCAGCCCGTAAATACTGACATCATATAGCCACATTTCTGTGTGCCTTCATGAGTGGTTTTCAGATAGAGAAAAGGAGATGCTTTAAAGAATGGAGTTGGCTTGCAGCTTGCTGTTTAATGAAGAGTTTTATAATCAGCTGGGTGAATTTCAGAAAGCAGAATTCGCTTTGGAGTGGCTGAGGTTTTTGGAAAAGCTTTTACCAGCAACTAATCAGGTAAGCATGATACAGCTAGAAGAGAACATATCTTTGTTTCCTGTTTTCTTCCCTAAACAGCCTATATCAAATAGGGAAAGTTGCCTTTTATTCCTGGGAAGGGCTGTAATATAGGGAGCTGACTAGCAGTAGAGATGGGAATTGAATACTGTTTTGAGCCAGACTTGACCTGAATGAGTCTGAACACAGGTGAAAGTGGTCTGAAGCTTTTCAGATAGTTCAAAGTTTGATTATCTCTCTTGTTAACCATTTATTCTATATTTCCAGGCTGACATAAGGGAAAAACAGAACAAACTTGTTGAGCAACTGGTATCTTTATTAACCAGTTCACCAGGACCTCCTGCTAGACAGCTCATTGCCAAGAACCTTGCTATATTATATAGCGCAGGAGACATTTTTTCTGTTCACCAAACAATTGACAAATGCAATGAACTTATTCTCAGTAAAGATGATTCACCAAGCTATCTACCTACTAAACTGTAAGTTTAAAAGTCCAACATGGTCATATTAAAGTATTATTTCTTCATCATAGAAAACCAAGGAGCCCATAGAATCTTAAATAAAAACAAAATTGCATGCAGCGTGAGTTTTGAAGATTAAAATAGGACTGAATCCAGTTTTTCGTTGGCCTGGTAACAGAGCCATAGTTTCCTATGTTTTCCCATGCACTGCCCACTTGCACAGCACAAAGGCAATTTCTTTCTTTTTATCTCCTGTTCTTTTTAGTTGTATTCTTGTCCAGGAATGAGTCTACAGTCAGTTGATGGCAACAGAATAATGAAAACAATTTAGTTTAGAAAAAGAGACTGTGGTGAAAAAGCAGTAATTGGAGGAATGCCTAGAAATGTTGGATTGATATAGCAGTGGGTATATGTCATAGTGGATAACCAGACTTGCATTTAAACACAGGCACTCAAGAATTACACACAGCCAAATGAACAGAGAAGCTCCAATCTGGCACAGATAATGCTCAATCCTTTCTCTATGCCAGCATAGAAACCAAGTAAGCTGCTAGGAGATAGAAGTCCCCTTCTTTGCCTTTAGCATAGAAATATAGCCTCTACATTGGCCTACAATATTCTTCAGATGGTTGTAACTTAAAGTTATGAGGATTGCATAAGACTTTTGCAGGGGCACAGGAGGCATGTATGGCTTAAAAAATAGGCTGTAGCAGTTGAAAAAGATTTAAACACAGCTAAACTCAAGTTCCATGAGATAACTTCATTCATTGCCCAGTTATGGAATGTTCTTTTTCTGGATGCAGATGGAAGAATCTCCTTAATTTTAGTAATGTTTATATGTTTGAAGCACAGTTCCATCCTTTAAAAAAGTGTGCAAAAATTTGTTGTGCACAACAGTTCATACTTTTCATTGTATGAAACTTCCTTTGATATAAATGTCTTTGCAAATGCTTTCTCCTAACATATGCTCTTTTGCACTATCATCCATAATTTTTTACTGAAAATTAATTTCTCCCTCATATCAATTTTTGATGAAAGCCCAGTTACATTGGGTGGCTCCTACTATATCTCGGAATTGTTTCAAGTTGAGGAAACAGTTCAGATAGGTTGAGAGAGAGGATAACAGATTAAGATATATTGGTTGTTCCTGTTTCATCTTCTATCGTGAGTGTGTCTGTACACAGCGTGTACCTCCCAGTTGGTAGTATGTGGATAATAGTAGGCTTGCAAGGTAGTCTCTAGATCAGAAATCCTGGCTTGCATAGAATAGCATGAACATACTTGGAAAATTTGAGTTTTGATGGAGCATATGGCATACTGTCCAAAATATGGCAGAACTGATTATTACTGTCCTCATTGTATTATGTGAGTACAATTAAGAGTGGTAACCTGTATTATTAAAAAAAAAAAAAAAGCATTATGTGAAACTTGAATTGGCCAAAGGCATGATAGGGAGTGGAAGTTATAGACCCATCTGGTTATGACCATGGCATATGAAAGATTGTGACTTAGAATGTAGATGGGGTAAATGACAATGAGCATGAATTAGTGAATGAAAGAAAAGAAAGTTAAACAAGTGGAAGTATGTTATGTCTGATCTTGGAGTGAAGTTGATGAATACTTGCATGATGTGAAGGTGTGGGTTTAATTATGAATAAGTGATTTTAGTAGAAATAAAAATTGCTTGGAAGTGGGTAAAAAGGGCTAAACAAGGAGTCTCCAATAGAGTCAATAGAATTATAAATAAAAGTATGAAATGCTTTGGAATGTAAGTGAAGTGAGGAAATGCTAGAAACAGTGTTGTAGACATTTGTATGGGAATGTTGAATATCAAAGAGTAGAAGCACTTGTGTCTGACAATTTGGAGAATGCTATTATTGCTCCTCTATACAAAGGTAAAGGTAATCTTAATTTTTCTGTAGGGATTTCTTAGAGTAAAGGAAAGCAGATAGAAATAAAAACAAGATAAAGGAATGTCTACCAAACTCCTATCATAATTCATGTACAGGATAGTACCCGCCAAAAATAAATCAATAAAAGTTATCCTATACAGAGATGAGTTAGAAAGTGTGAAAAACAAGCTAGATTAAAACAAAATGAAACAACCAGCCAGTGGCATGTTCCTCACAACACTCTTGCCTCCTACAAGTATACTCCGGCATAGGCAACTTTTTTGTGACTGAGATTTGCATTTTTGCTTTTTTTAATTTTTGGGGCTGTCGGACTTCACAGATAGGTTTGCAGTATAATATGATTCCTGCAAGTAGCAAAGGCTGACTTTTCAGTCAGTTACTGACCCCTTGGAATTTGGTAGGGTATTCTTTTAGTAAAATATGCAGCTGTGCAAACCATTTGGAGGAATGCTTAGCTACGATACTTTGCTGTGGTTTGCTGTCAGAAAGGAGCATGTTGCTCTTTTTGCAGTTCTCACCAAAAAAAAAGAAATTGGAAGAGCTTGGAAATTACTATCCTGAGCCTTTAAGAGGATTTAGTCACCTTTGTCACTGAGTGGTTCACATCAGATGCTTAACATAACTATTTTGTTGCTTTAAAACAAGTAGTGAAATCCCATTGTTATAATTCAGGGGTTTTTATCAAAATGTGGGAATATTGTCTTGGGCGTGGTGGAGAAGGAGTCTGGGAATTGCATACAAACATGGGCTGCCCATACTTGGATATGTGATGGTAGCTTCTGGCCTTTTTTTTTTAAATATCAGATCAGTCCATCAAATAAGTAAGAAATTGACTTTAAAGAGGCAAATCCATGATGTTTCTTTTATACCATGTTGTTAATCAGTCTAGTGTTGTTTTTTTTAATGATCCTGAAATGTATATCCTAAACCTACCTTATACAACTGGTTGTCCTTCAGTTTTGTTGTGCAAAATTAGCAGTCAACATGCTCATTGGGAGATGGCATCCTAATACAACTAGAAATCACAGGTTGGGAGAATTGTTCAAAATAATTTAATATTTATTATTATTTAATAGCTATTGATGATTAAGAATTTCAGCTGTTTGTAATAAAATGCAGTATAGCATAATTATTAATAATGTTTTGTTATAAGGTTGCCTGACTGCATTTTCTTTTCTTTTCTTTTCTTATTCTTTGTTTTAAAAGTGCTGCAGTGGTTTGTTTGGGCTACTTGTACAAAAAACTGGGAAGAATTTTGGGCAACAGCTTTGTGAATACTGTGGGAAATATTCTTAGAGCAATGAAGAATGCAGAGGTAAATGAGCAGGTGTTCAAAGTTGAAATAAAATATTGATTAAAGTCTAAAGGAGAAGACTATTTTTAATGAGGGCCTCAGAAAGAGCTAATAATATATGAGATTTTGACATTTGAGGATGATGTATCAGATATGACATTTCTGCAAAACTTCTTTGAATCATAAACAGAGTAACTGCAAAGCATTCCCTCAGCTCCGATGAGACTCTTCTTCCTCTCTTTTTAATCTTTATAGAAACCAATATTTAGTATGAACGTTTGATGCCATGATTTAATTTCTTTTCTCCATCCCCTCTGCTTCCTGTTTTTGTTCTTATTTTTATTTTATTTATATTTTTATTGTGTCTTTTAGATAAAAAATTTTTTGGTGAGGATTTGTTTTATTTATATTGATCATATTAAAGATGATGTCATAGCCTTTTTGGCTGAAGGATGTGATGAAATGCTTTAAGTGAAATAATTGGCTTGCCTAAATATAACGTGTATAGTTTATTTTAAGTAGTCGTACTTGTATCTTTGTTAGTGCAGAAGGGGTCCAGAAGTTTCTCTTTGTACTCTTTGTAATTGGCAAAATGAACTCAATTAGGTTTTGCAACGTTCAGTATCTCAGGGATAAAGCTTGTCTGAGACAGCTTCCAGTGCATTCTCTGCCATGAATTTAACAGTGGGGCTTTCAGTAAAATCTTTGATCTAATTCACCTAACACGATTATGGTGTTACTAAAGTGTCACTTGTTGAAGGAGTAGCGGAATAAAAACGTAAAAACAGAAATCAAACCTTGCACTTTTGTTCTAATGTGAGATGATTTTTTTGTCTTGCCAGTCTCAAGGGCGATATGAGATAATGCTAAGTTTGCAGAACATACTGAAAGGGTTGGGAGCTGCTGCTGTTCCTTGTCACAGAGATGTTTACAAAGCTGCTCGTACATGTTTAACAGATAGATCAATGGCAGTTCGCTGTGCTGCTGCAAAGGTAAAATATTCTTTTCTTTTTGGTAATTAATCTTCCTGTCTACCATTGCATATGTTATAGGAAGGATAAAACAAAATCCATTACACCCATTCTTTTGTGTTACCAAGAAGATTTTAGCTGTATATAAGAATGGTAAATAATATATCTTTATCATTCTGTATGTTTTTGTTAGGAATTTTTTCCACACAAATAAAATTTATGTCTGACATTATGTCGGTAAAGCTACATTGACAACAGCAGTGTGTATATGTATTACAGAGAGCCAGTTTGGTCTAGTGGTTAAGGTAGAAGGTTAGAAACCAGGACACTATGAGTTCTAGTCCCGGCTTAGGCATGAAGCCAGCTGGGTGACCTTGGGCCAGTCATTCTCTCTTAGCCCTAGGAAGGAGGCAGTGGCAAACCACTTCTGAAATCTTGCTAAGAAAACTACAGGGATTTGTCCAGGCAGTCACCAGGAGTCAACAATGACTTGAAGCACCCCCGCCCCCCAAAAATGGTTTACAAGCCAGATCAGGTTACTTTCTTTACACATACACATTTTTCTTAAGGTGTTGAATTTGTGCCATTTGAAGTCAATATCTATTCCCATATTTTGGAAATTAGCATTGGCATTTTAGCATTGGCATTTTAGCTCAGTATGTTTTTTATGTTTTCCCCCTAAAATGGATTGCATGTTCATTTTGGAAGAATTACATTGTGCAACTAGCAGGTTATGATCCTTGCTGGAATAAGAAAAACAAAGCTGAGCAAAGTACTGATATATCTTTAAAATCCCCCTCCCACCCATGGAAGAATGACTGAAATGTTTTAATTCCTTCATCTGAAAGAGCTGAAAACTTGTGAAGTTTAATTATCTTAGGTTTATGTACTCATGAGTTTCCCTTTATAGCCTACAATGAAGAGATATTTTTGATACTAGGCCAGTTTTCAGATGTGTGTGTGTGTATGTATCCATATCCCTACTGAATTTAATGAGCTTTTTCCCCCAGATAAATTGATGCTGTTTGAAGCCCTAATAATAATGGCTACATTTTACAGCAAGGTTTCCCTTCCTCTCTCCCATTATGTTGATGTTATGTGTTTGTGGGTCAGATTTCGGAATGCCTGGATAGAAGAGGAGAAGTGAATTTGTTTGATGGGTTTTATCTTCACTGCCAGACAGACATTGTTGGATGCAACCCAAATTTTTTTAGGTTTTTTTTTTTTAACTACACAGTATTTGTGCACACAATATTTAATTTATTTATTTTGCTTGTTTTCCTTCCCCCCCCCTCCTTCTTTTCTTTTTTTTTTTTTTTTTTTTTTTTTTTTTTT